TAATTAATAAAATTGAAATTAATTTTTATTTTTATATAAATTTATAATAAAAATATACAATAAATTTACTCTTAATATATCGATTAAAAAATTTTAAAAAAAATCAAAAGAAATAGGGATAAGATATGTAATCTCTTAGCTTTAGGTTTTTTTCCATCTAATTTCGTTATTTTTGTTTTCTTCTTGGTCATAAATTTCTTGATTTTATACCTTTGAAATTTCAAGACATATTCTAAAGAAAAAAAAGGGAAAAGTCCATATTTATTATATCAAGCATGATAACCCTGATGATGCAGAAGGAAAGAGCTCTCCTGGTGAAGTTACTTTGGGAGAAAATTGGAAAACGTTTCAACAAGGATTAGAAGAGTTATGAACAATAAAAACACATTTTCAAAAAGTACAAGTTAGAAATTTGATTGCATGTTTGTTTGTTCCAGTTTTTGAAAAATAAAAGTTTTGCATAGACTGAAGTATTTCTAATAAATGCAGTTTTTTTAAAGGTAAAATCTAAGGATATCAACAAGGTTTTGTGGGGTTAGGGAGTTTCTGTGAGGACAAGGATCTCCATAGGGATTTTAGTGGGGGGAGGAATTTTACCTCATTCCCCACCAATTAATATAAAAGAATAATTTTTTACGTATAATTAATTAATATTTAATTATAATAAATTAAATTCTAAAAATTTAAGTATAATTAATTAAAATTCTTTAAATATAAATTCAAATATAAATTGTCCAAATATAAATAAAAATCAATCTAACGTAAATAACTAAAAGATTAATAATGGGTTGAGTAAAATTGAGTTAAGTTTAAATTTTATTGAATTGGATTTAGGTTTGAAAGTTGAATTAAATTTAAAATAAAATTAATTTACATATTTTTTTAATTTTTGCTAAGGATGGGGATCCCCACGGTACCCCGTGAGATGGGAAAAATTCCTTGCGAATTTTCGTGGGGAGAAAATGCCTTTCGTCCCTGTCCCATGGGGAGGAATATTCCTTCCCACCCTGTCTCCGTGGTGGGGATCCCCGCAGAGCCCCGCGGGATCGAGATAAATTATCATCCCTAGTAAAACCGTAACTCTCAAACTTTTATCAGATTTTTAATAAAAATTTTAAAATTTTTAAATAAATAAACTTATAAATTTGTTTACTTAGATAATTTAATCCTCTTTCTCACGGTAAACTTAATATACGTTTGCGTTTTACTTACATGAACAAATGTAATAATTTAAAAAAGATGTAAAAAGAAACTTTTTATAGATTAAATAATTAATTAAAATAAATAGATAACTGTAAGATTAAAGTAGGAAAAAATTTATTTACTTTAAAAAATAAAAAAATAAACAATTAATTTAAGATAAATTTAAAATAAAAAGGTGATAATTATTTTAGGATAAAGAGAGTATTTTCATAATTTTTCATATAAATTACTGATAAAAAATTACAATAAATGCACCTCTACAAAAAAAAAAAGCATGATTAATGTCAATATTAGTCCTTTTCAAAAAA